GCAGAATGATTAGATGAATACCGCATATTGAATCGATATCTGCGTCCCGACCTCGTGCAAATTTGGTACGGTTTTAGGTGACCTCAATATTTACAAAATCTAAAACGCAGTTGGGAGCCACTATTTACGACCCGCCATACAAAGTTGCCCAACCCTACTAATGTCAGATTGTCCTGTAATATTAAAGCTTCGAGGAACTTCAAAAACACTAGAAATTATAGCAAATCCAGAAACTTCGAAAGCTCCATGAACTTGGAGATCTCCGTTAACTTCTGGTACCGTACCGTGGGGGTGACATTGGACCAAAAAAAAGTCGTTCCCTACAACACAATTTATGCATGTATTCATCAATGATATATTTAAAGACTGTCATGGAAATGGTTGATTGAAATTGATATCCCATTTCACTAAAATTAAATTTTAAAAATAAAACAATATAAACTTTATTGGGGGTGACATTGGGCCAAATCATATATTAGGTTAAAATATCTTAAAATATGTAAATTTAACGTGGCTATTATAAGTACACTTGGTTATAATCACAATTTACTTCGTATGTATGGCAAAAGATCGCATGCAACCCTCGTCTACCCACATCAGTGTGTTCAAACTTTTGATTGCCTGTGGACATTTTAAAAAACGTATGTTTGCTACTATTTATACTTTGGGATAGTTTTCGGCTCTTGCAGTCTTGAATGAGCAGCTACAAGGAAGTTTTGCGTCTACTATAAACGTTTCTATGATATATTGCATCTTTATCTGGAATTTAAAGGCTTTGTTGTGTTGTTGTGAATGTATGTGTTTTCTATACAGCTAAATGTAGGACTACTCATACACTCAGAACAACACAACGAAGCCTCTAAATGCCAGATGAAGATGAAGCGTATCATCGAAATGTTGGATGGTAAACGCAAAACTTCGTTGTAGCTGTTTATTCAAGAGCCAAAAACCAACCCCAAATTTCTCAATACAACAGTCGAGAAAGCATTACTATTTATAACACTTAGCTTTACAGCACTATTTAAATAAAACAACTAGTTAATGTTATCTACACTATACTCAAGGAGCTCTAGCAACATATTCTAGTAATCATTTACTGTATATTCAAAATTTTTACATCAATAAACATTTTTCAATTTTGGCCCAATGCCACCTAGAAAAAAACTCCATAAACAAGAGAGATTTCTCGAAGTATCGGGACTGTGGTTCCTAATAGATCCTTATTACACTGGAGGCATACATGTGAGAACATTGAAAATACTCCAGCAACTGCTAGGTTGCAGAAAATACTCGCTAAAGATCATTCCAATGGTCTGGGCACTTTGAAAAAAGAGGATGGCTCTTTTACTACTTCTACAAATGAAACGTTAGAGTTGATGATGAGAACGCATTTTCCATGCTCTATTATTAATTCAAACGAAGACCAAAACGTGACGACAACAGCAATTGGTATCGATGAAACCAGGACGGATATTCATGAAATATTGAATGAAACGACTGAATTAGACAGAACAAGAGCTAATGCTTGCACTTTGGCCAACAAAATCTTTACTGAAAGAAAAGTTGAATGGGCGATTGACTCCTTTGAACCTTTCAAGTCACCAGGTAGGGATGGAATTTTTCCTGTACTACTACAGAAGGGAAAAGCGGTTGTAATGCCTATTCTAACAAAGATATTTCGAGCAAGCTTAATATTAAGCTTTATACCGGCAGTGTGGCGACAAGTCCGGTTATTTTTATTCCCAAGGCTAATAAAAAGGATAAAACTTCACCAAAATCCTTCAGGCCAATAAGATTATCGTCTATTTTGCTAAAAATAATGGAAAAAATAATAGATGAACACATAAAGTCATCATATTTAGTCACAAATCCTCTGAGCAAATATCAATTTGCATACCAGGAAGGTAAGTCATCAGTAACAGCACTCCATACGGTTGTTACAAAACTAGAAAGATCTTTTGAAGCAAAAGAAATTTCACTTGCTGCATTCCTTGACATTGAAGGTGCATTCGATAATTCATCTCACGATTCAATGACTACAGCTATGATGAAACGTGGTTTCGATCAAAGCATTGTAAATTGGATCAATGAAATGTTATCAAAAAGAGAAATATCAGCAAACCTTGGAAGCTCACTCATCAGTGTAAGAGCAGCCAAAGGATGCCCGCAAGGAGGCGTGTTATCACCTGTATTGTGGTCTTTAATAGTTGATGATCTTCTCAAAAATTTAATAGCCCATGGCTTCGAAATAATTGGCTTCGTAGATGATATAGTCATAATTGTACGTGGCAAATATGATTGTATTATTGCTAACAGAATGCAAATTGCTTTAAATTTTGTCTCATCGTGGTGTGATAGGGAAGGATTAAACATAAATCCTTCTAAAACTACTATCGTGCCATTTACACGAAGGAAGAAATTTTCATTAGACAACATAAGATTGAAAGGCACACTTTTGGAACTTTCTAATGCTGTCAAATATCTTGGAGTAATCCTCGATAGTAAACTTAATTGGAATATGCACCTAGAGCAGGCAATAAACAAAGCTACTAATGCTCTATGGATATGCAAAAGAACATTCGGTAAACAGTGGGGACTGAAACCGAAAATGATCCATTGGATTTACTCGGCAATTGTGAAACCCAGGATTACTTATGGTGCATTGGTCTGGTGGCCAAAAACAAAAGAGAGTGTTGCTCAGAGAAAGTTAGAAAAACTCCAAAGGTTAGCAACTCTCTCAATAACAGGTGCAATGAGAAGTACACCATCGAAGGCATTGGATGCTTTGCTTTATATGCTACCATTGCATCAATTTGTACAATTAGAAGCCGAAAAGTGTGCTCTAAGGATTACAAGGTCAGTGAAACTCTTTGAAGGAGACCTTAGAGGACATCTTAGGATTCTAAAAACTGTTAGTATCAACTCTCTAGTAAGGAACAACGAAGACTGGATGGAGAAAAGATACAATTTCAATCGACTTTTTCAAGTAGTTGACCCTGGGCGTAATTCATGGCAATTTGGTGGCCCAGTTCTTCGTCCAGGATCGATTGTTTTTTATACAGATGGTTCAAGATTGAACAATCAAGTGGGAGCAGGAGTAACTGGCCCAGGGATAGAAATATCGGTTCCTATGGGCAGATGGCCAACTGTGTTCCAAGCTGAAATCCAAGCAATTTTAAGCTGTTCCGTTATATGTTTGCGTAGAAACTATAAGAGTTCAAATATATGCGTCATGTCCGACAGTCAAGCTGCTCTAAATGCTTTAAAGTCGGCGACATGTACATCAAAACTTGTCTGGGAGTGTGTTCAATCACTTCAAAAATTGTCTTGTCATAATCAAGTCAACTTATATTGGGTTCCTGGTCATTGCGGGATTGAGGGAAATGAAAGAGCTGATGCACTAGCAAGACTCGGATCTTCTCATAAGTTCATCGGGCCAGAGCCCTTTTGTGGCTTATCGGCTGCATCTCTTAGAATGGAGCTAAAAGCGTGGGAATCTTCAAAAGTGGAGGAAAACTGGAAGAACACTTCCATAGCTAGGCAGTCGAAGCGATTTATTAATCCAAACATTTCTGTGACCCACAAAATCCTGGAACTTTCTAAGAAAGATCTTAGTATATATGCAGGTCTTATAACAGGTTATTGTCCGAGCCGTTATCACTTGAAGCTGATTGGAAAACTTCAAGATGATGTATGTCGCTTCTGTGGCATAGAAAAGGAAGACTCGGAACATTTGCTATGCCACTGTCCGGCAATTTTCAATAAAAGGCGTAAGTTCTTCGACAAGGGGCTGATAGAAACCTTTGACATTTGGAGAACAACTCCCAGTACGGCAGTGCACTTTATTCGAAGTATAATGCCGTGCTGGGATAATGCTATTAGTCAAACGATGGCGATCACTCCTAATAATAGTGATACGGCATCTTGATATAGCTAAAGAAAAAAAAATGGGGAATATATCACAATAGATCAGAAAAATGGTCGCAGTGATGAAAATACCCGACAAGGAAAAAAAATAGATCCTTATAGTTCTTTCAGTGCTAAGACTACCGGAAGTTTCCACACTTTCGGGAGTTGCCGCAGATTTAGAATAATTCTTGAAAATTACAGAATTGCATAAACTCCAGAATTATCGGACTTCCGGAGCTTCGTGGAGTTTCGAAAGTTCCCACAATTCCGGATGTTTCTAAAATTTCTGGTATTCAGAAAGCTCAGAGATTTCCTAGGTTTGTTGGTGTTTCCGTAGATTATTATAGTCTGGAGAATTTTCGGAGTTTCGAGACATTCAAGAGTTTTTGGATTCCCTAAAATTGCAAGATGAAAGTTCCTGAAGTACCAAGATTTTTGATAGTTATCGATGAATCGGAATATCCAGACGCTCTTAAGTGTTCTTTTAGGGTCGGTAATTTTTGAAACTAAGGTACCAATCAAACATACGCCTCACAATTAGATAAAAAAAAAAAACATTTATTCAGCCTTTAACCACCTCAAATTCATTCATGGGCAGCCTAGTTAGTAAAGTCACGGTATTACCAAGCCGGAGACAGCGGGTTTGATTCCTGGTTCGGTCGTGGAAATCTTTCAGGTTCGAATTTTTCTCGACTTCCTTGGGCATAGTGTATCATTGTGCCTCCCTGGAATATATAAATTCATGCATTGGTTAGCATAGAATGGTCTCAGTTGATAAATGTGGAAGAGGATCTAGAACAATAAGATGAAAGCCAGCAATACATAACCGTAAGAAGCTTAGCGTATTCTGCATTGCTTCGATCTCCAATGGCCCTTTGGAATGAGCGGCAGTCACGCTTCCCAGACAACCAGAAGTCGTATAACAATGTTCAGACAGTATCGTAAATTGTTACAGTTTAAGTCAATATCGCATAAAAGAATGACATGCATCGCATTATGTTTATGTATTACGAAAAAGGATATACAACATTTTATAAATACTGGATGTTTTAAGAAGGGTGGATAAAAGTTGGCATTGCCGCTTGAGCACCATGAGTTCTAAGTGCAGCTCTAATTGTAACCTGTGCAATCGAAACCACATTCATTTTGCGAAAAATTCTATCAACCACCAGCATCTAACCATATCCCATCCATTCTGGTCCCTCTTTCAGGTCAACCTCACGCTATGCAGATCTGGAGAAGCCCAAGAAGAAAAAGACACTCAGTTCCACCAGCCTAGTTTCCATACCGAACACAATCAAGTTAAGCATGTTGAATAGCGGTTTAATTTCATTAGGTAAGTCCATTTTCACAGTCTCTTGTGGTGCGTTTATCAAATCGACTGATCAAAGAAGCAGCTGCAACAACAACAACATCGACGACGACAGCAAAGTTGCATTTTCTAAGCTGATTTGCATAAACGATCACAAAGTGTCACGATGGTCGCCGTGCTTCTAATGAAGTTTTCTCAATTTTTCTCTCCTTCTCCTTCTCGGTGGATTCTACCAGATAAAGTTAAATTATCAGCCAGAGGTAAGTGTTTTTTGACCCAGAGAAATTGTGTGCGACTCCTATCAAGTTTTCCCTGTCTTGCCTGTTCACCATTCTCTTTTATTATTACGCTCTATCCGTACGTTGTTCTACCTTGTAAGATTTGAAATTCATTAGAATTCATGAGTAGGAAAAATCGCGAAAGCACTCTACAGTCATTGCAAACTTCCTCATCATTCAAATGTTTATTCATTCCACGAAATTGTACTCTAGCCCTTTGGACCTCTTCATTTAATTGACTCACGTCCTATTCTTTCGCGAAAAGCTCGCCCGTGCGCGAACAGCAACGTCCAAACCGGGGGGGTGGCAGGGAAATCTATCGGAAAAGCATCTCTTCCTCGTCGCACTTTAATTTCAATTCACGCTTGTCTCCTGCTGGCAATTTACGTTCCTTTCACTGTCACCAACAGATGAGAAAAACCCGCTCTCGCAGACGATGCCGGACAAACCGACCGAGCTGCGACACTTTAGCAAACTGTGCGAGCAGCGGCGAAAGTTTCCCATCCTCTACAAGCTCGAATTCCAGACGGCTGTGAAGGTGGAGACCAATACCTGCCGGCACGCGACACGCAAAGCCAATGCCCACAAGAACCAAAATCCCAAATGCATTCCATACGACTACAACCGGGTCGTGCTCGGCAAGTACGAAAACATCCCAGACACCGACTACATCAACGCGTCCTATGTCGATGTGAGTATCCTTGAGTCTCGTCTTGTTTCTTTGATAAATCTATGTCGTCGATTTATGTGTTAAAAAAAAACTGATCAATATATATTCCATTCTTTCATGTTCCCGCTTAATATTGGCCAACGCGAGCAGAGTTTACTGAAACCCAATGCATACATCGTAACACAGGGACCAACCGAGGAGACAGTGTTAGACTTTTGGCGGATGGTGTGGCAGGAGAACTGCAGCGCAATTGTGATGTTAACGAAAACTTTCGATTTTACCAAAGTAAGTACCGCTGCTGATGAACTTTTTTTTTTTGGCTAGAGTAGACTGTATGGAACTGACTCCGTTAGGAAAAAAAAAACATCCCCTATAACAATGCTCAACAGCTGCAGGTATATCAAGCGACGAAAAGTTTTTTTTCTGTGGACATTGGAGAGCAAAAACTGAAAATTGTTCGACCAAATCGGGGTTTATCCTGAGAGAACGGAAACAAACTCCTCGTTGATTACATGCAGCGTCGGAATCAAAGTTTGAACTGGTCACGTAACAAAAAAAAGAAGTGCATTTTATGGAAATTTCCTGGTCCCAGGTGGAATAATTGAGAGATTTAACAAAGTTCTATACATGCGCGTCGTAATTACAGTAGTTGGGGCTCCAACTTAATCCCTACATACAATTCCATCGTTCAGATGACAATTGTATGACAGAAAAGCAGACAGGTGGAACGATGATTGGTGGAAAGTCGATAGGTTCATAACTCAAACGAACATTCGCTGTAATATAAATTATCATTTTAATACACAGGAATCTCCCAAAGAGCGCAGTTGGTGGCAGTGCTGAGATTTGTCATTGTCATTGACAGACTTTCGCGCGATATTGACAAAATTGTTTGTCAAATAGTCGCTGACAGACTTGACCCAAAAAAAAAACCTTCGTCAAAATCCTATTCATTTTTTCGTCAATGACAAAGATTCACCTGGTAACAACAAGTGTAATTTCGTACATTCTGTATTACATTAATGTTATCCAAGCAATTCAGGACGTAGTTGCTTGCTCAAAACGTAAAATCTGATATAAACAAATCTGCTATATATTCTCTCTAGATCGAGTCCATTTCACAAGACACATAAACTTCTCTTCCTAATTAGTTAACCACAAAGTCAACAACAGCCTAAATAAAAACAAGCAAATGATAAACAGCACGCAACTTTCTACCCTAAACGAAACCATCTCAATTTAGAAGCCAAAAACTAAGATTTGCAACCTTAAGTTTGTTTGTCAAAAGTCCTTCAAAATACAATTAGCCATTCACATTTGATTGAGACTGTCAGATAACAACATCGTTAGTTAATCCCTCCCTAGATCATTGGAGCCATAAACAGAACGGCTCTTCCATCGCTACTGAAAATATTTCCTTCATTACGTAATGGGACTAAAAAGTTTCACATCCCGCCTATCGCATTTTCCACACGGGACAAGAACAATCAAATACTCATTTTATGGGACACGCGACTTTCGTCTTCTCCTTCTTCTTCTACTAGGCTTTACGCTTCTGCAGTGGGCGTTTAGCCGGCTCTCAAAACTTAGTTGTTCTAGATGCACTTCCACAGCTATTAATTGAGAGCTTTCTATGTCAACCAATTCATGAATTTGTATATCGTTTGGCAAGGCAAGGAAATTAAGAAAATTCCCGGGAATCGAACCCACCGCCTCCGACTTGGTAATGCCGTGCCTGTGCTGACTAACCTATCAGTGCCATTCGTGCGCAGCCCGCAAAAAAAACGTTCAAGAACTTTTCCTCGTGAATCGTATCATAAAGCAGGGCCTCGTTTGCTACCCCATTTGAAGTGAATTAACTTGGCGAGATGACAATTTATCGCCAATCGCGTTTTCGAAAGTGCTACTCCTCTGCCCTTTTCCGGAGCGCACCAGTTTGCCAGAAATCTCACTTCGTGACTTGAATTCCGCAGATTCTCATACTCCCTCGAGGGCCAACAAAGCCTCGCACCAAATTACTTCACTTTATAGCGGCGCGGTCGATTCATCCGGTTTACTCCCTTGCGCTTGGGAGAAGGTTTTAGTAGCAAGAATAAAAATCACTTCATCGCCACCGCCAGCAGCGAAAACGGCAGGCACGATTGAAACAGGGGATGAAACTTCGCGAAGAAGGATCACCCACGGGAAACCGATTCCAGGGACACAGATAAATGTTTTTTCCTGTCAATCTTTCAACCCCCGTCGTCGTCGTCGTGCGATGAATATGTGATTCCGGAGCCGAGTAGAACATCGTCATCACCATCGGCAACGGGGGAAACAGCACAATAAACGGCACCTTCTGGAAGTTTATTTGGCTGTTTTTCCGGTCCTGAAAAAAATGCTTCGCATTTTATGGGAAATCTGTTCTATTAGTCTGCGATGTGTAATTTCGTGGCCTTCAGTAGGGTTTGACTGTCGATGCCGACAGCTGTGGAAGAGATCAACTTTACTGTCGGAATGTTGGCATTAATGGCTATTTAACATTGGGTGATTTGAAACTTGGAACTGGATGGTCATCTTTGGGAAATCCCTCTCGTTGAATTATCTACGATCATCGATTATCCCAAATTGAGGGGAATTTCTTTTGCTTCGTAGATGATTTTTTTTTTCTAATTGACTCATCATTCTCCAATGCAAATAAAATAATACTTCCTGTGTATTCTACTGTAAACCGATCTCCAACCATGAGCGAATTGCTCATACGAACAAGACTTAAATAATTGTTTCTTGTTCACAATCACTTTCTTCAATTTTCGGTCTTGTTAACATCACAGTTCACAACTTCTTTGTTTTAAATTCAGCGTCAGTACCGTCCTGATGTGCTTCTTTGAACTGGACGGGCTACTTTGAACACTTTCATACTTGTACCGTATGCGTGATAATGTTTGCACCATTGAGCAATGTCAAAGTTTAAAAACCCGAATTTATCCACCTATGGTGTTATCAGACCCTTCTTACTTATTCAAGTTTATTTATTTTATTGTCATTATCAGTGACCAAGCCCCCCACCCCCGTGTCATCCAGTGACGCTACGCCACTGCCTGGGGGTACCTGGAATATATCCGGGTGTAGTCTATTTGGTGAGGCTACCAATCACCTTATCATCGTATTTTAATGTGATTTAATGGGTTTTAATTCAATTCATATTCAAGCAACTTCCCCGGGGTACCCGGAACATGTCCAAGTGTGTCGAATGTGGTCTGGAACACTTAACACGACTTGCATTGATCTTATTTTTGAATTCTGTAGTAATTTGATGTGTCGCATGATGGTTTTGATACGTTTTCCGTTAAATCCAGCGTGAAGGCCCATATTCACCGGATCTCATTCCGGCCATATCTCCGGAACCGGTTCACCGATTCCAAAACCGTTCAAAAGCGTTCAATGGGACCCCAAGACCTATCATTTGGCGCCGAGTTTGTCCAAATCGGTTGAGCGGTTGCTGAGAAACATGAGCGCATTCATTTCGTTACATACACACACACACACAGACATGTTCCGATCTCTTCGAGCTGAGTCGAATGGTATATGACACTCGGCCCTCCGGGCCTCGGATCGATAGTCGGTTTTTCAAGTGATATCTATACCCTTCTTTGTAAGAAGGGTAAAAATTCTCAAAAATTTCGTTTTTGAGTTTTTTTTTTATTCATAGGGGGGATGTTTCTCAAAGTCTTAAACTATGTTAATCATCGATCGAGTTTCCACTTGCTGAAATTACGGCCTCCACACGCTTCTGGAATGCATGGCAGGTTTCAATGATGTAGTCTGGATCCATTTATCTCCAGGTACGGGTCAATGTTTGTCTGAGGCTTGCTGTACTCGGGTGGCGTTTAGAACAGGCCTTGGCCTTAATGATGCGCCATATTGAGTAATCCAGCGGACTAAGATCGGGGCTGGATGGCGGCCACATATCCTTCGCCCAGAACGGAAGATTTTCTTACCACCACTTCTGAGTGCGGTTCGAGGTGTGGCACGGCGCCCCATCTTGTTCAAATACAACATTTGGCTTAAGACCGTACTGTTCTTTGATCCACGGAAGAACATACTTACTTAAAATCCCGATGTAGACCTCCGTGTTGACCTTGTCGCCTTCTGGAATGAACACCGGGTCCATTTTTGCCATCGGAAGCCACCAATCCAAAAACGATAACGCTAGCAGGATGCTTGGTCCAGATACACGTTCTTGTGCTCGTCGGCCACGTCTTTTACCGGAAAAGAACTAATGTACCGGCCGGTTCTGGAATTTAATACGGGATCGACGGTAAACATGCTCTCGTCGGTGATCAGGATAACCGGATTTTTTCGATTAAGGAAGTTCAAGATTTTCTTGGATCGTTCGACTCGTAGCTCCCGGATGCGGTTGGTAATCATGTGAGTTTTTTTTTCCGTGCCCTCGACTTCGCCCCGCAATCTTCCTTTACGATCTTCCAATGGTCCCATGTTCCTTTGCCATTTTCGTTATTGAACGCACTGGATTCACCCGAATCTTCCTTTTGATAGCAGCGATAACCCTCGGAGACCTTCGCGGATAGTTGTCCTTTCTTTTCTCGGTCTAAAACCCTTTTGACGGTCCACCGGGACACTCCCACGGCGATTGAAAATGTCTTTTTGCGACATTTGCGCGTGGGACAAATCACGAATACGCTGCCACTTCGTCATGGTGTTTTTATACACAGCCTACTACGGTATGAGCTATAGGTTACGTGCATGCAAAGAAAACCAAGGCATTTTATGCACAGTTGAAACGGGAACCGTATGTGTACGATGGTGCAAACATTATCACGCATACGGTAGAATCAAATAAAGTAGCGTAAAGAATCGATTGAATGTATATCTACAACAGTGATGGAAATCAAGCGAGCATGATTCGATTTCCAGTTTGTCGTAAACTGTACAGATCGTGATCTTAAAAATACGTTATTGCATAGGCAACTCACAGATAACAAATACATAGTTAGACTGAGTCAAACTCAGATAAGTGAGTTACCCTTTTCGCTCATTATATCCACAAATCGCAATGTGCTTATTTCAAAAGACGAGAGTGAGTGTCTCTCTATGAGTAGCATTCTTTGGCAGTTTGGGGTTACAGAGCAATAGCGAATTTGTTTATTCCCAGGTTGAAACCAGTTCCAACCCAGTGCAAACCCGAACTTTTTGTCAGTGCGAAAGTCGACCCGTGCCAGGTTATAAAAACAAACGATCAAACTGACGTTTGCTAGAAAACAAGCAGACCCTAGGATTCCCCA